TCATACTTGGAGCGCCAACGATGTCATCGGGGAGGCTGTTCCTCATGTCGGTGATTCGAAGCGAGAAGAAATTTTGTCGCGTGGATATGTTACAACGCAGTTTTTTTAATTTATAGCCGTGGCCCCTGGTGTTGGTTTTTGTTTCAAATTCTAGTAATCCTTCGGGGACCTTGTATAGACCATGAGTATACTTGTATACTTCAATGAGGTCCCCACGCAGACGTCGATAACTGAGGCTTGAAAGCTTCATAATCTTTGATCTTTCTTCATAGGACTTGCCCTTCAATCCTGGAATTATCCTTGTTGCACGTCTTTGAACATTCTCTATTAAATTTTTGTCCTTTTCAAATCTCGGTGACCACACAACGTTTCCAAACTCTAGACGAATTTTCACTTCGTCTATTCATAAACGAAGTGAGTATTGTATAGACGAAACAAGTTAACTATAGACACCATCAGTACTGTATTGACGAAATCTATTATTTATAACGAAATGAGTACTGGATAGACGAAATCAGTATTTTATAGACGGAATGTATTATTTATAGACGAAATGAGTATTGTATAGACGAAAAAAGTTAACTGTAGGCACAATCAGCACTGTATAGACGAATTGTTTTATTTATAGACGAAATGAGTACCGAATAGACGAAATGAGTACTGAAAAGACGAAATGAGTTATTTATAGACGAAATGAGTATTTTATAGATGAAACAAGTTAATTATAGTTGCAATCAGTAATGTATCGACCAAATGAATTATTTACAGACGCACTCAACTACTTATTGACGAAATGTGTACTAAATAGACGAAATGAGTTATTTATAGACAAAATGTGTATTAAACCGGCGAATTGAGTAGTGGATAGATGAAAAGAGTTACTTATAGACGCAATCGGTACTGTATAGACGAAATGTGTTTTTTCTGAATGAATAAAAAATGAAATGAATTTTGTATGAGCGATATTAGTTCTGTATAGACGAAAGTGATGTGTAGACGAAGTGGGTTATTTAGAAATAATTATTCATGCATTGTGGAAATGTGGTTTGCATAGACGAATGAGTTAAGTGCGGACAAAATAAATCTTGAAAACGAATGAATGAACAAATTTCGTAGGAACGTAATTTTACATGAACGAAATGTATCTCGTATGAACTAATCTATTGTGTATAAATGAAACCTACTTCGTATGAACGAAAACTGTTTCGTATGAACTAAATCTATTTCGTACTAACAAAATCTATTTCATATGAACAGAATCTATTGCGCATGAACGATATCTATTCCGTATGAAAGAAATCTAATGCGTGTGAAAGACATATACAGATATACTGTATTTCAGATGAACGGAATGAGCTTTGCATAGACTAAATGAGTCTCGTAGAAATGAAATTTGTGAAAAACGAATCTCCCCAACGAACTAAGGTCCGATAAATGAAATAAACCCCGACGTAAAAACGTTTTCGTAATAAATGAATTTATTCTCGTCAGTTCCGCATGATGAAATTAGTGACACTGAAGGAATATATTCTACGGACAAAAGAATTGACGTAAATGGTTAAATCGGAGAAATACTTACATTGCAAGATTGCTTATATCGATAACAATACTCGATTTCGAAAGGAAAGCCAACGGTGGTCGTGGTGTCGTGGGGCTATAGATGTGGCGGGGAGGGGAGAGGGAGAGTGTCCCCTCCCTAACCCCATCGCCGGAGACTTCACCCCCATGACTCCTCACATCCTCAAACATTGGGGAACTTGTCACTCTTTTGGAAATAATAATGAATTAGAATAAATACATAACATATATTGCATTTATTTGATAATGTACGTTAATACTGTAGAGTAGAAGTTCAGATTTATCGTCAGTTTATACTTTCTAATCATTATGTTATTACCGTTAATATCTGCTGACTTTAGCTGAACATTTGTGGAAATTGATTGGCTAAAGTAACAAATGAACACATTCATTCAGTGACCTACAATTCACCAGTAAAACAATTCATGATTTCTAAAATGATCTATTGAAATTTGAATGACTTCAGCACAAGAATTAATGTAGTATTTTTTATTACATTGAAACATACATTATTGTGGCATTTTGTATTAATTTGGCACATAAATTGCTGTAGTATTTTTTGCATTACTCTGACATATAAATTACTGTAGTATTTTTCAAAACAATTAGACCACATCTCATTAGAATTCAAATAAATGATCACTCCAACAAGAAATAACTTCAATGCCTTTCATGAACCAATGATACAAATGCAAGGTGTAACCGATTGCAGATTTTTAATTTCTCCCGTTCTCAATTAAAACGACAAAACGGGTGAATTTCAGCACGCCCAATTTCTTTAATACGCAGCAAATAATTCTGAAATTTAAGACACAATGTAAAAACCCATTGCGCTGTTGTGAGAATTCCCGTTTTCCATTAAAACGGTAAAACTGGAAAATAACCAAACCTAATTGAAAACGGGAAGAGTTAAAATAAAAAAATATTCTAGAGACAGCGCAATGGGTATTAAAAACGTTTTTTAATGTCATAATAATTGGTTACCTAATAATGTGGCGCGGTGAAATAGTTGAGCTGGGATGGCCTACGCAGCAACCCACGCTAACGCTCACGCAATTTGTCAAGTTGGTTCTCATCAACGGCGTAGAATTAGTTAAAGCCTATTTATAATTAGTTTTTATTTTTCCATACAGAATTGAACGACCAAAATTTTTATACTTCAAACATCGATACTTAGTATTTAAGTTTGAATACAATCTTTATTCATTGTAAAGGACTTTCTTGTTGGCTAGTCCTTTGGGAACGTTTACCGAACTATTCATAGACGCGCCATCATAGCAGGATAAAAAACGAGTATTCCATGATGTACGGTTTCTAGAAAGGAAATGACAAATATACATAAGAAATATACATAAGAAATATATACAAGACAAAATATACGCTAATTACATGAAATATATGAACCAAGATAAAGCAATAATTCAGCAGGATAATCAATAATACACAAAAACAAACGATAAATCGAACGAACCGAATAGCTTGGTTCCCCTGGTAGTGCAGGCATCCGTAATCAAGGGCTAACAATGAATGCTAATGACGCTAGTGAAATCAACTGCGTCGAGTAGGCTAATTCTATAGCTACAAATTTCAGAAAAAGGGAAAATGGCGGCTACATTCATCTTTTTCAGTTCTTACATTGAACTTTGAGCTAATCAATTTAGTGTACGCGAGTGTGATGTATACACCGGGCAGCTGGGCAGGTCTAAAAAGTTTCGTTGTGTTGAATCTAATTGATAATAATGCAACATACGGCTTCTAATAATACACTAAATGACTTATAGTGTTTTGAAATTTATTGAAACCCTGCTATGGTTTCAACACAGCTTGAAGTTTAATCCAAGATGTGTTCATAATTTACGAAGATCATCATATTTTCTCGTTTTCTTCTATCGGCCAGCTGTAGTAAATTCCACGGACTTTACTACTAACAGTTGAGTATCTGTGTCAGTGCTTAGGTGTGCCGATTTATTCAACAGTGGAGAGTGGTGAGTCAAGGGGTGAGTGGTGAGTCCAGGGGGTGAGTGGTGAGTCAAGGGGTGAGTGGTGAGGCAAGGGGATGAGTGGTGAGTCAAGGGGATGAGTGGTGAGGCAAGGGGATGAGTGGTGAGTCAAGGGGTGAGTTGTGGGTCAAGGGGGTGAGTGGTGAGTCAAGGGGGGTGAGTGGTGAGGAAAGGGGATGAGTGGTGAGTCAAGGGGGTGAGTGGTGAGTCAAGGGGGTGAGTGGTGAGTCAAGGGGGGTGAGTGGTGAGGAAAGGGGGTGAGTGGTGAGTCAAGGGGGTGAGTGGTGAGTCAAGGGGGCGAGTGGTGAGTCTAGGGGGTATGTGGTGAGTCAAGGGGTGAGTGATGAGTCAAGGGGGTGAGTGGTAAGTCAAGGGGGTAAGTGGTGAGTCAAGGGGATGAGTGGTGAGTCAAGGGGTGAGTGATGAGTAAAGGGGGTGAGTGGTGAATCAAGGGGGTGAGTGGTGAGTCAAGGGAGTGAGTGGTGAGTCAAGGGGGTGAGTGGTGAGTCAAGGGGTCGTGATGAGGAGGGGTTAGAGGCGGTTATGAGCAGGTTGCTCGCATTTGTAATCGATGAGCTGCAGCCACCGTATACTGCGATGTGGAGCATCCTATTGCATCCTTCCATGACATCCTTCCATGTTATTCTATATTTATCTTCTCATGAAGGCATTATTGCTGATTATATCTTATTCCTCATATGATCCTCGCATGAGGACCTCACATGTGACCTTACATCATGATCCTTCTTATGTGATCACCCCGGGCTCACGTGATATCCTTTGATGAGATCTTTTGTTATCATCATATTTAATCGTAAATTTTTTCCATATGATTTCTCATATGAAGGATCCTCATGTGAGGGATCTTCATGTGTTAATGGTTGCTCTATGTGATAATATTGACCTTTCTTTGGGAACCTCACATGCGGTCTTCGCATGTGGACCTCAGATGTGGACCTCACTTACTGTGGACCAGATGTGGACCTCATTTTTCGCATGTGGACCTCACTTACTGAGTCATCACATGACACTAGTCGTCATGCGAGCGCTCTCCACCTCTTCGCATGGAAAGGCACATCACATCCTATCCCCCCCACCCATGACACACCCTCCCCTTGACTGCTGCGTACACCCTCAGCATTATTCATGCCACGGCCCCCTTCTTCCCCCTCTTCCTCTTACTTCCTCATCCTCCGCGTCATGTTCGCCCGTTTTCTGCCGTCGCATCCAGCGGCTAAATCGCTTCCTTGGCTGCGATGCCACGGATTGCCACAGTCAAGCATGGCCTCGTCGATGATACGATGGCCTCGGCAATGCCACTGTTTGTCTCGGCAATGCCGCGATGGCTTGTTTGGTGCCACATTGGCCTCGCTGATGCCATGATGGCCTCGCTGGTGCCACGATGGCCTCGCTGGTGCCATGATGTCTTCAGGGCAAGCCTGGTCCGGTGAGGTGCCGATAAAAGACGGAAGACGGAAGCGCGGCGGCAGACCAGCGATACAGCAGAGCGGCGAGCTGGATAAGAGTAAGTGAGTGTGAGTGATGGTAGAGTCCAGAAAAAGGTTTCACAAACTTGTAGTTCTTACTGGCCAATTGAAGGCGTTAGCCGCTAATATTTATCATTTATTTTACTCTTGGCGCTGAAAATAATCGTGTTTGGTGAGTACAGTCTGCATAATCGTGTTTGGTGAGTACAGTCTGCTTCTATCGGTGGGTCACTGGGTCCAGGCAGGTGGCAACAGGTGGGTTGGGTTGGGTCATTAGCCTGTGTCAGGTATGGACTATGAAGTACAAAGTAACGGCACAAAGAGTACAAAATCTATTTTCGGTTGATGAAAAGGAATAAATCCTCTAGTGAAGTTCTGAGTTTGCTGGTTCTTATAAAAGAATACCGGCCCTAACATATGGCTCTGTTGTGGTGCCATAACTCTATGTCCTCATGAAATGCAAGCCTAGGAAGTTATTTCATTGCATCGGATTTGAAAATTTCACCCGTAATTGTCTGCCGAAAATCCTACAATGTTTATATGAAGACACAATTTCTTCCCAATGTTCATGACAGAACAATTCTCCGTCGGTTTTACGTTTTCATATGAAGTTTTTGGCTTTAACTCTCACGGTTACGCTTTACTAAAAGAATAAAATGAATAAAAAAGAAATATAAAAAAATTGCACTAAATATGTCAGTCGTTGAAGTTATACCGTGCGCATGGCAAGATAGCAAACGCATGTTGCACAAAGCATAACAGGTCACATTACTCCACATCCATGCGCTGTAGTGCACAGCACCGTTGCACAGCAGTGCACAGCACTGCTCATCATTGCGCAGCAGTTTACGGCATTAAACATCATTACATAATAATGCGAGGAATTGCACATCACTTTACGGCACCTCACATCACTGCCACTGCACATCACTGCACAGCACTGCACTGTACAGCACTGCACAGCACTGTACAGCACTGCACAGCACTGCACAGCACTGCACAGCACTGTACAGCACTGCACAGCACTGCACAGCACTGCACATCACTGTACAGCACTGCTTCCCACTCCGTTCCCTCCCACTCCGTTCCCTCCCACTCCGTTCCCTCCCCTTCCTTTCCCTCCCACTCCGTCCCTCCCACTCCGTTACTTCCCATTCCGTTCCTTCCCACTCCGTCCCCTCCCACTCCATTCCCTCCCGATCAATTCCCTCTCACTCCGTTCCCTCCCACTCCGTTTCCTCACATTCCGTTCCCTCCCACTCCGTTCCCTCCCACTCCGTTCCCTCCCACTCCGTTTTCTCCCACTCCGTTCCCTCCCACTCCGTTCCTTTCCACTCCGTTCACTCCCACTCCGGTCCTTCCCACTCCGGTCCTTCCCACTCCGTTCCCTCCCACTCCGTTTTCTCACACTCCGTTCCCTCCCACTCCGTTCCTTTCCACTCCGTTCACTCCCACTCCGCTCCCTCCCACTCCGTTTTCTCCCACTCCGTTCCGTCCCACTCCGTTCCCTCCCACTCCGTTTCCTCCCACTCCGTTTCCTCCCACTCCCTTCCTTCCCACTCCGTTCCGTCCCACTCTGTTCCCTCCTACTCCGTTTTCTCCCACTCCGTTTTCTCCCACTCCGTTTTCTCCCACTCCGTTCCCTCCCACTCCGTTCCTTTCCACTCCGTTCACTCCCACTCCATTCCCTCCCACTCCGTACCCTCCCACTCCATTCCGTCCCTCTCCGTTCCGTCCCACTCCGTTCCCTCCCACTCCGTTTCCTCCCACTCCATTCCTTCCCCCTCCGTTCCCTCCCACTCCCACTCCCGTCACCCGCTCTCACATTCTTCTCGCTCTTCTCCATGGAGCTCTTTTCACTGCTCCCGCCCAATGCATCTCCACATATCTCTCCAGGTAACTCTTCTTAACCACGCTGTTCCCTTTCCACCTGTTCATATTCATCCAGCTGTTCATCCTTCTCCCCGCTCTCCTTCCAACTGATCTTTCTCCAATTGTTCTCCCTGCAGCCGTATTCCCTCTCTCTGCCCACTCTCTAAATGCTCTTTTCCACACCGCTGCCCTCCCCACTCTCTCTCATCCCCCCCCTCACTCCTGTTTTCTCCCCTATTATTCCACTTTCTCCAGTCCCTCTTTTTCTGTTCCTTCTCTCTTTATTCTCCTCACATCTGAACTTTCCACTCACCTCTCACCCAATAAACTCCCCTCTGCCGTAGCTAGCTCTTCCCTTTTTCATCGCCCTCACATCGTTTACTCTGAGCTCTCCCACACCTGCTCTTCTTCCTGCCCTTCCTCTTGCCCTACTTCCTGCTCTTCTTCCTGCTCTTCTTCCTGCTCTTCTTCCTGCTCTTCTTCCTGCTCTTCTTCCTGCTCTTCTTCCTGCTCTTCTTCCTGCTTTTCTTCCTGCTTCTTCTTCCTGCTCTTCTTTCTGCTCTCCTTACTACCCTTCTTCCTGCTCTTCTTCCTGACTTTCTTGTTGCTCTTATTCCTGCTCCTCTTCCAGCTCTCCTTCCAGCTCTTCTTCCAGCTCTTCTTCCAGCTCTTCTTCCAGCTCTTCTTCCAGCTCTTCTTCCAGCTCTTCTTTCAGCTCTTCTTCCAGCTCTTCTTTCTGCTCTTCTTCCTGCTCGTTTTCCTACCCTTATTTCTTCCCTTCTTCCTGCTCTTCTTCCTGCTCATCTTTCTACCTTTCTGTTGCTCTTCTTCCTGCTCTTCCTCTCTTCTTTACTAGGACGTTCAAATGACGCGCTTCTTGGCAGCGGCGGCAGCGTAGCGGCCTCTTGCTCCAATATTTCCGGATGATTCTAAACATGACATGTTGATGACATGATAAACGGACTTGCAATAAAATGATTCATGATTTTCAGATTGAATAGTGCATTACATTGTAATAACATAATACATGATCATCTGATAACTTATTATACGATGTTTTAAACATGTAATACACGAATTTCTGTTGATAAACTCGTATAATAAAAGAATTCTAATGATATGGAAGAAAATTTTCAGATGATATAATGCTCGATTAGATGATATTTTGATGATTTAGTCAAAGATATTCCTATAATATAGTACTTAATCTTTCAATGATACAATACAAGAAATTATGATGTAATAATGCAGGGAAATAAGGAAAGATGATGGTAATTGTCTGATGATAACTGCACGATATTCTGATGATGTAATAAATACTCTACAGATCTTATTTCTATTCTTGTTTGATATACACAAAAACAAAGATGAATGAAAAAAAAATCGAACGCGCAGACTGAAGAGAAATAGGAAAATCATTGTTAATAATAAACAAGGAAGAAATACACTTAAACAATAATAATGATCGAGCTGCTGGATATTAACACATAAATAAAACATTAAACAAAAAATATAATAAGCATTTACTCACATGGAATCTGAAGCACACAACTAATGACACAGTAAATACAAAACCAAAAGATACTACAAATAACATAACAAACGAATAATAAAAAAACACATATTGACAATATCTGCTACATGCAAGGCTTCCATAACTACAATTAAAACAAATATTAGGCGCGCAAAATCGTATATGGGTTGAAAAAATTCTATTTAGCGAGCCGCTTAATTACATTGAATTTATCTGATATGTGATGCATTAGTCGCTGTACACGCATTCACAGCTCACCGAAACAGGAATAAAGAGAGCGTCGAGAGAGTAACATCGTGTTGGCGTACAAATAAAGAGAACACTGGAGAAGAGAAATGGAGAGAGAAGAGAGAACGGAGGCAGGGAGAGCAGGAAGGGTAAAGCGCGGCACGGAAGCAAAATACGAAATCTGTTCGTTTAAAGCAAACGAATGTACAAGAAATTTAGACTTAGACTTGAAGCGTGAGTTGAAGCGTGAGTTGAAGCATGAGTTAAAGCATGAGTTGAAGCATGAGTTGAAGCATGAGTTGAAGCATGAGTTGAAGCATGAGTTGAGGCATGAGTTGAAGCATGAGTTGAAGCATGAGTTGAGGCATGAGTTGAAATTAATGAATGTAGTTCGGATATAAAGCAAGAAATCAAGGGAAGTTGCTAGAAAGAGAGAGTGAAGGAGAGAGGGCAAGAGAGATAAGGAGGAAAAAAAAAATATAACTCAGTACTCACTGCAGTGAGTGACAGAGAGCGCATTTTCTCGTCGACGAAAACGTGAAGTCACGGACGGACGGATAGACGGATAGACAAACAGACAGACGGATAGACAAAAAAGACAGACTGACAGACAGACAGACGGACATGACGAGCACAATAGCGCCTTTTCTCCATAAATGAGAAAATGCGCTAAAAAGAGAGTGAAATAGAGAAAGAGAGTGAGAGAAAAGAGAAGCAAGAAAAGGAAATAAAAGGGAAGATAAAAGGGGAGATAAAAAATAGGGAAATGAAATGAAAGAGAGAAATACCGAGCATCTACGTTGTATATGAGAGAACGGGAAAACTGCCTGCAAAAGAGCGAGAAAATGGGAGAGAGAGAGAGAGAGAGAGAGAGGATGAGAGACTGAGAGTGAAGGGGGAAAATGGGCTGGGGAGGAGAGGCCTTAAAGCTGCCGTACTGAGGGCTGTACACAGATGGGGCTGAAGGAGGGGAGGGAGGGGAAGGATGGGAGGGAGGGGAAGGAGGGGATGTGAAGTTTGTTAGGAAGGCCAATATGCCGCCACTCCGCCGCCCCGATTGAGGGATGCCACCTTGTATACCTCGACTCTCAAGTCGTATGTACGAGCATACAGGACATGGCAGCTTTATCGTAACGTAGGTGAATCACACACGTACAGTTGTTTGGGTCATGTGTAAGTTATGTGTAGGTCATGTGTAGGTCATGTGTACATGAGATACGACGTAGCATTGAAGCAAGCGTATGCTCAGTGACATGAGGGGAGGGGGGGGGGAGGGGGGGCGTAGACCCACTGCATTAAATTGCCTGCCCCGGGTGAGGGGGAATGCTGGGGCGATGGGTGGGGAGGGAGGGAGAGAGAAGGGGGAGGAAGAGAGCCCTGGAGAGAGCAGCCCTCTTGGGGATGGAGGAACGCGTGATGGAAATGCAGGGGGTGAGAGAATGCCCTCACAGAAGGGGAAGTGAAGAACTGATGATAAAAGAAGTAAGTGTAATAAAAAAATACTTATGAAAAGAAATAAATAACAGTTAATAAATTTAGACGAGAGACTTAAGAACAACATTAATAGATAACATAATCGTGTTATAAATACATTCAGTCTCCTTAAGGTGTATAAATGGATCAATTGTAACCCCCCGCCTGGGGAGGGGGGGGGAGGCGGTGATGGGGAAGATGGGACTCCAGGACACCAAGCGGCGCTACGGCGGGGAAACTGTTTGAGGTGAGGATACAATAGAGGGAATACCGGCGTGCCTTATAATGGCATGAGCTACAACAACAATAACAACAACAATAATAATAATAATAATGATAATGATAATAATATTTTTATAATAATATGAGTAATAGAAATAAAGATATTACGTAACCCCTTCACGGCAAGCGGAAGAATGTTAAGAGATTGAAACCAGTAAAATGAAATATTTAATCATAAGATCAGTTTACGCCTACAGATTCTCAAAAATATTGCATATTGAAGGAGTAAATCACAGATGAAAAATAAATTACATACGGTCACTACGTCAAGAAAAGCTATATAATACAAGTTAGGACATTCTAATGCTAACAGTAATTATATATAGCCTCAACTTAACTGAATTTCATGGAGTTACTTCGATTGACTGAATTGACATTGCTACTTCAAAAGTTTTTATAAACAGCGTAAACTTCATTGTCCGAGTCATATCATTCATTTAAATGTTAATATTTAACTTTTCGCTCATGGTAGGGGATGATATTACGCCAGGAATGATGAGCAGATAATTAGTGATTGATAGAAACATGATAAAACATGGGCACAATTACAAACCTCGGGCCGAGGGGGGCCTTTTTGGAGGGCGACATTTATAAATATATTTGACTGAGATGATGTGTATTTGTGTGTGTGTTGTAAGCCGCGAAATATAAGGACTGTTGAAGTGCGCATCCAGGATACTTATCGTGTCGGGATATTGTATATAGGGGCTGTTGGGGCGCGTATCCAGAATACTTATCGTGTCGGGATATTGTATATAGGGGCTGTTGGGGCGCGTATCCAG